AAATCCATGCAAAATTTCTTAATATATCAAGTTTTATTTGTTTACATAATTTATACTTATTAAAAATACATGTATATTATTACTATTTAAATTACCTGTACAAGTAAATTGTTTAATTGTGCGATCTACATTTAATCATATAAGTCACAAGTTAATATAACCTTAATGATTGGTATTATAATGCAGATCCTATCACATTTATATTTTTTTTGACACTTCATTACAAGTTATATGTAATAGATTTAGAAAATCTTCTATATTATTCTTATCATATAATCATATTATTATTATTATTTTATGTAATATAATATATTATTCTACTATATTATATAATTATATGAAAGCATTAATTATTTCTTAATTGTTTCTATATTATTATGTAATGATATTAAAAACCTGATTGATTATTACTTTTTTTACTATAATTCAATATATATAACATATTTAATATTATATTTGATATTTATATTTAGTGTAATATTCAAATGTATTAATGTTACTTATATACAATATAAGGTATTTGGTATTTAAATTATAAAAAAAATACACATTTTATTATCTTATTACTATTCATATCATATAATCTATCATATTAAAATAACAAATAAATTTCTAATCCAAATGGCTTCAATAGACCAAATCAATAATAGAAGTGAAACTTCTAATGATTGTTAAAGAAGATTAAATCAGATTAGACAAAAAAATTACAAAAGAAGGCGTATTAATAATAATATTGATATTCGTCATGACTTAGGAAGTATGAATCAGTTATGTTTACATTATGGTGCCAAGTTTTGGATGGATGAAAAAAATCAAAGGAGCACACAGATTTCTCCTACTTTTTCTGTATGTTGTGTTAATGGAAAAGTTAGATTATTGCCTCTGCTTAAACTACCTACATATTTAATGAATCTCTATACTTCATCAGAATCTGAAGCTAATTCTTTTCGTAAAAATATTAGAAGTTATAACAGTTTATTAGCTTGCTCATCATTTGGTGCTAACGTAAATGATGAATTTCAGAGTAAAGGAGTATCTAATTTCAGCATTTATGGTCAAGTTTATCATATTATTGGACCATTATTATCAGAAGAAGGACAAGTACCTAGATTTGCTTAACTATATATATATGATACTAAACATGAAATTAGAAATCATCTTAATCTTATGCAAAATTTAAATGTAACAATTCTAAAAAACTTACAAAATATGTTTGATATAATCAATCTCTATATTCATATTTTTCGACAAGCACGAGATATTTTTCAGACATCTGAAAATTCTAATATATCAATGCTAATTCATAATAATCGTATACAAAATTTACATAATTATAGTGTACCTACATCATCTGAAGTTGCAGCACTTATGATAGGAGATAGACATGATATTGAACCATTAAATCGTGATATTTTGCTTAAAACTCGTAGAGGAGGTTTACAAAGAATATCTGAACTGCATTCCTCTTATAATGCCTTGCATTATGTATTATTATTTCCAAAAGGTGATGATGGTTGGCATACTAATATTCCTCTTACAGAACCTGAAGCAAGAAAAAGAGTAACACAAATGCAATTTTATTCTTACAGATTACAAATTAGAAATGGTGACTGGATACAAAATGCTGACTGATTATATCAGTAATATATTGTTGATCAATATGCTAAAATTAAGCAAAATCGTTTAAATTACTTAAGACAAAATCAGTCAGAACTTAGAACTGAATTTTATCAAGGAGCTATAAATGCAATATATGTAGGAGATAATACTAATAATATTAAACGTTGTATGATTCTTCCATCAACTTTTTCTGGTGAATCACGATCTATGTATCAATTATATCAATATGCAATGGCAATTGTACATCATTTTAGTAAGCCTGATCTTTTATTACTTTCACATGTAATCCAAAATGGCCAGAAATTATATGAGAATTATTACCAGGTCAAATTGCTGCTAATAGGTCTGATTTAATTACTCAAGTTTTTCATATGAAATTACAAGAAATGATGAAAGATCTGTGTGAAAGAAATTTACTTGGAAAAGTTATTGCATATATTTATGTAATAGAATTTCAAAAACGAGGATTACCTCATGCACACATCTTATTAATATTAGCTCCTGAAAATAAAATTCATTCAATAGAAGAATATGATTCAATTATTTCTGCAGAAATACCTAATCGTGAATTAAATCCTTTAGCTTATGAAACTGTGACAACTATGATGATGCATAGCCCATGTGGTATATTAAATCCATCATCACCATGTATGAAGGATGGTAAATGCAAAAGTATTATCCAAAAAACTTTCAAGAAACTACACAAAAAAATTCTGATGGATATCTAATTTACCGTCGACAATATGATGGTCATTATGTAGAAATTAGAAATGGAATTCAGTTAGATAACCAATAGGTTGTTCCTTATAATATTAAATTAGTAGAAAAATATAATGCACATATAAATGTTGAAATTTGCAATTCAATATTAGCTATTAAATATTTATATATATATGTATATAAAGGTCATTATCAGCAACTGTAGCATTTTCTTAATCTATTAATAGAATAGATCAGGAGGCAATAGATACAAATGAATTAATTGATGAAATTAAAATGTATTTAGATGTATGATATGTTTCATCGTCTGAAAGTATGTGGAGAATTTTTCATTTTAAAATGCATGGACGTAATCCAAATGTACAAAGATTAGCAGTTCATCTTCCAAATCACCAAACAGTTACATTTTCTGAAGAAGATAATTTGTATGATATAGTTAATAATGAAACTAGATATAAAACTACTTTAACAGCTTGGTTTCAAGAAAATATGAATAAT